TGTGTAACAATGTTTCAGTATAAGATAAATAAAAAGTATATTTGTCTGATTCATCTATAGAAGGTGTAATCTTACAGAGTTTCATTTGTATAAAAAATATTGTGTGTTATTTTAAACTGAAATTCTCTTAATCGAGTATATATAGTAACATGAAAGGACATTTGGTATGTAAATTATCACAATATATCTGATTCGTTAAAAAGTACTGTATACTAATATGCAGTGCGCGGTGAAACTGATATTTTATAATAACTTACAATGATATATATACTTCTTTACCACCAAGATAAGTAAGTTTAATAGACAAGGGTAGTCTTTGTCACCCAACAAAATATGTTTAGGGGTTGATACAGCCATTGCTTTCAGAATTTGCACTCTTCCGAACTGTGTTAAAGGGGAACCTGCCAAACCCAGGGATTGCACCAAAGAATCAGGGATTTTGCTTAAATGGAGATGCCCCTTTATTAAGGTAGAAGCCCAGTCATAATTTTTGACAAAATTGGCCATAAATCGCATGACAATGTTCATTAGTTTATTATGTAAAGTCATGAAGCTAATGTCTCATGATAAATGTGTGTTACAGTTATGCTTTTTGAGAGACGTGTCCTAATATTTCTTGAAAATTGCAATTTTTAGAACAATTCCATAGAACACAATGTTAAAGAAAAATTGCATTTTTTGACACTTTTTAAAACCCAGACTTTTCAAATAATTCAGATCAACAAAAAGTACTTCATCATTAACAATATATGATTTTTAGATATTGCATAATATCTCTGCCATAGAAACCTATGGTAAAAGTGTTATAATAGACAAAATGGCGACTTTCCACTAAAATACAACCATCATTGAACTTAACCTTTCCTAGCCACATACCTTCACATTTTTAGATGTTAACAGTAAGGCCAGAGACTCTTGAGAATGTTTGTATCAATGCAAAACATTTTAATTCTCTAATTTTGATGAATATTTTTGTCATTTTTGGTAACAAGCAGCTTGTTGGCTGAGATAGCTCCACTGTTAGCAATGCACATTTCAATTAAAGAACTGAAGATATCATTAGAAAATAAACAATATGTATAGTATCAAAGCAATCAGACTTGCTGTTTTCAAAAAAAATTCAAAAATATCACTTTTCACCAAAAATGACAAATAGAATTCATTAAAATTAGATAAAAATGTACAAATCTGAGAGAGATCCACCCAAGGTGCCTATATACTAAATTATAAAGCATTCAGAATTACGGTTCAAATAAGAAGTCAACAATATCAATTTTGACCAAAAATCACAATAATATTCAGCAAAAATACAAATTTGAGATTTTGACATGAAATGAACAAATCTGAGAGAGAACCATTCAAGGTACTTGCATATCAAACATTCTGACTTGCGGTTGAAATTGTAAAGTGGACGACGACTGATAATCGGTAAAAAAAGTGATATTTTTGACTTCTTGTTGAAAACACCTTTGGTGATGTTTTAGTTCTAGTGATCTTCCAAAAATATATATTTGTGCTGTTATCTGTTAAACAATTATTTTTATTGTCATAAGTATATGGTTACATGTAGGTATAGAGTATCCAACGACGATGGCACATCACCACCAACTATGTCTGACTAAAAGATATTACAAGTTGTTTACATGTTGCTTTATCAATTCAAGCTTGCCTTTCTGGACAGAATTCTGTAACACAAGTTCCTACATGGTTATTGACCTGAACTTGACTTCCATAGTCAGTATATTGAAATGTGTTTTCTGTCTCCTATGGGCATAGAGGTTTTTAAAATACAGACATATTATAAAATAATGTGAATATTAAAAAAGAAGACCCATGTAAAATACTTTGCTTGTACCTATGCTGCCTGGCGATTGGCGCTTTTTCACATAACATGCTAAACTGATGTTATCATTTAAATATAGAAAATTACTAAAATTTATATGGTACATTTCTTTATGTTGTCTGCTCTTTTTATATTGTGACAATTACATCTACAGATACATGAAAGGTCGCCATGGTTATGACGGAATAAATAACATTATTGATGCAATAAATCGTGTTCTAGAAACCAAATATAAGATGATGTCACAATCTCGGAAGACAGCAAGTGATAAAGTAGTGAGACAGTGTAGAGAATGGAAGCAACAACAAAATAAAGATTCACAAGGTATAGTTGTCATCAAAGCATTTGTTTCAAATGAAGTTTAATGTTAAAACTTTGTCTGTCCAACAGCGACATTGAATGAGTGATGGTTGTATTAAAATATTTGCAATTCAGGCTGACTCTAAGCTTTCTGGTCTTCTTACTTCTTTGTGTATTGTTTTTTTTGCTTTGCAGGGCTTTCTTTCTTTGTTGATGACGACTATAAAAAGATGAGTGATCTAAAATTTGACAAAGCTACATGTGGTGTATTTACAATACTACGACACTGTAACAGAATGAAAGAAGTTCGGGGAGGGGGTATCACAAGATACTGTCTCAATGAATGGTAGAGTCATGTGCAGGCTATTTATTACAGATTAGTCTTGAGTTGGTACGGGTACATTTAGAGTCAGCAGTCAGCTTGGTCAACTGTTCCAATATTGCACTTAAATAGGGTTTTATTTGTAATAATGTCATCACCTTTAACAAAATTGAGAACTAATAATTTGTGTTCCATGCTACCTTTGGGAGCCATTTTGACCATGTATGATGACTTATATATTTCATGTTATGATTCCTCTCTAATATATCGCCTGAAAGTTGAAAGTTTACACACAAGTACTATACTCATAAGTAATAGCGTAGCTTGTATTAATTTGTGACTTCATCATATTTAGAGAATTTGTGAACGTGTTTGTAACAGAAGATAGACAAGATGATTTCTATCAAACTTTCTATTGTGATCATGCATACTGGGTTACAGGTACATTTCACTTTTTTGTTGAGATTCAAACAAAAATTATGCTATCCATGTTTCTGCCTGTCTGCCTGTCTGTCTGTATGTGTGATTACAATCTGTATATTCCAGTCATACTGCATTGAAATCATACATTTTTACATTGCTGTATATTGTAGTGTGAAGCATGTAATAAATATTTTTACAGAATGAAAAAAAAAATTGTGTTCAGTAACTGGATCTTCTAAATGTTGCTATGAA